GTTGCCAAGCCCTTGACTGACCTGACTAAGAAGAATTTGCCTAAGCAGGTCCTGTGGTCTCCAGCTTGTGAAGCCGCGTTTCAGGCACTGAAGCAAGCTCTTGTTAATGCTCCTGTCCTGGCTGCCCCAGTCCCTAACAAACGTTTTCTTGTACATACAGATGCTTCCATGTATGGACTGGGGGCTGTGCTAAGCCAGGTCGGGGAAGATGGAGGAGAGCACCCTGTCGCATACTTAAGCAGAAAGTTACTACCCCGGGAAGTAAGTTATGCGGCAGTGGAGAAAGAGTGTTTAGCCCTGGTCTGGGCACTGAAGAAACTGAGCCCTTATCTGTATGGACAAGAATTTTCCCTTATTACGGACCATAACCCCCTCGTGTGGCTTAACCGGGTCTCAGGAGACAATGGCAGACTGCTGAGGTGGAGTTTGGCACTACAGCCATATAACTTCACCATCAGCTACCGACCCGGTAAGCAGAATGGGAATGCAGATGGGTTATCTCGGCAAACAGACGTCCCTACTCCTCCTCAGTCCGGTCATCCCCAAGTTGACCCGCCAAAGGGTCAAGCCGGGTCTGCCGGAGTGTTCCACAAGGGGGGAGCCGTGTGACAGACCCATCTGTCTGGATTATAACTGCGTTGTTCGTCTGTTTTGCCGTTTTCATGAATTTCCCCGTTCGTATGCTTTGTTTAAGGGAATGTCGGTTTTGTCGAACGGAACTACCGAACGGACGGCCACCCAGAAGAGAAGTGTGCTGCTGGTTAACCTATTGATCCCAATTAGAACGTTGCGGTTAACCACAGACACTTCTCAATTAAAAACCGAATGCCGGGTGGTCGTCGTTCGTATGTCGACCACGAGGCGGCGGCCATTTTGTCCATGCGAACGACCAGCGGTGTTCAACGATTATTTCATGGATCGGAAAACGGACACTTTTTCAGCCGAACACCGCTGAAGCCGTCGACCTCCCCTTCTCAATCGACAAAAGCATGCGAACGACAGCCGTTCGGGAGATTCAACCACACGAATGGACTTAACCCAGATAGCCGTCCCATGGAGTCAATCGCATACCGAAGAACTGAAAGAGACTTTGACTCCATGGCGATTGAACTGTGCGAATGGGATCTGAGCGCTATTCTCCAATAATGTGCCCTCAGATCCAGGCTATCTGGGGATATGCAAGACTGATGTAAAATGTTCAGCAGTTATTAAGTTATGGATTTTTGTGTGTTTTTGTAACTTGTATCTAAAATGGCGATTGCCTCTGCTCGGGGAGATAATTGAATTACTTCCCAATTATTCCCCGAGCAGAGGGGAGGGAACTGTACTGCATGCTGGGAATATTGTGGGGATGTATGTCCAGAATGTCCCCATGTCCCTCTGTGATTTCAGTCTCCCATTTGGTCCCCTAGGGGAGTGTCCACCAAGTGGGAGACCTGCATAAATACCGGGCAGGTAGCCCACAGTAAACCAGTTCGTGTTTTACCCTCAAAGCGGAGCTTGGTCTCGTTATTGGGGGGATTTGGATACTAGCGGCGAGAGACTGTTTACTTGGATTATTTGCCGCTTGGGAGAGATTGTCGTTCGGTTATTAATTGCCGTTCGTGGATTTGCGGCTTGCGAAGGGAATTAGCCGTACAGGTACCGTTCGGGAGTTTGGAGTGTTCCCTGACTGGCGGTTCGCATGGTTTTATTATACCCGCTACCCGACCACATTATTGCGAACGGGGAATACTCGCTAAACGGCGGGTTGTATATTTCGTTCCTGGAGGTACCGTAACACAAGTGATCTGCATTTTAGTTTCCCCCTTTCTCAACAATGAAACCTCAGGGCTGAGGGTTATAACTGGGTGTTGGTACACGGCATGGAAGGGGTCAGTGTACCATAGATTCCCCATAGTGGGGAGCCTGGGGCGGCAGCGGGGGGTGTAGGTTCATTCATTATTGGCCACCTTTATTGTCTTTTTGCGCCCAGTACTTTAGCCAGGGTTCCCATGTGATTGTGTATTTGTTGTGACGGCCTAGGTTCTCCATTTCTCTCATTACTTCTACCCTATCTATCCATTGTGTCACTGTGGGGGTCTCAGGTTTCCTCCAGTATATAGGTATAAGGTTGTTTGCTTCTCCCAATAACAACCATAGCAGTTGTTAGGCTTCCGGGTTTTGGAAGGTTTGTGGCCAGCCCAACAGGACCTGGGATGGTACCAGTGAGTATGGGAGCTTTAGAATGTTTTTTATTATTGTGATTACATCTGTCCAATACTTTCTAATATGTGTGCACTCCCACCATATGTGTTCCATTGTCCCCACTCCACCTTCGCATCTCCAGCACCTATCACTTAGTGTTGGCCAGAACTGGTGCAGGAGATCCGGAGTAATGTACCATTGTGTGACACATTTGTAGAAGGACTCGCGTCTTGAGAGGCTAATGGAAGCTGCCATAGGATTCGTTAGGATGTATTTCCAATCGATGGATGTCATGTGTACATGTAGCCCTTTCATCCACTTCTGATGGAAGGGAAGAGTCTCCTGATCCCCTTGGGAGGATAGAAGCAGTTTATATACTTGGGAAAGTGTGCTTTTGTGCGCTAATTTGGCACTGCAAAATCGCTCAAATTGGGTTAGAGCTCTAGGGCTCCAGTTGGGTAGCACTGTGCTTTGCAAAGAGTGGTGTATGTGCACGCATCTTAGTGTTTCAGTGAGTGACCCTGACCACCAGGTTCCTTGTAATGGTATCTATTAATTAATGACTTTACATCATAAAGAAAGCATAGTTAATGTAATGCTTTGGAGGCACCACTAGGGGCAGTGTGTAGGAAGACATGTGCTTCTGGCAGTGACATCAGAGGCCAGCCTATTTAGGAATACACTGAATAAAAACCAGATGTAGGAGAAACTGTCTCTTTGCCTGTACCTGACTGAACCTAAGATGTAGTATCAGCTCTGACTTAACCCCAGCCAAAGGGCTGGGGCCTTGTAAGTAATATGAATCCATTGTAACATTTAGCAACTGTAATAGCCTTTTGTATAACATTTAGCAACGGTTATAGCCTTTTGTAAGTAGGGCCACCCTCAGGGCATGACAACCATAACGGTTGTCATGGGCCCGGCGGTCCTGGGGGGCCCGGACTGCTCAGGTCGTACAGGGCCCTACATTCAGTGGCATACATACCTGGGTCACAGGGGGCCCGGCCGCCCTGTGACCTGGTATGTACCCACTGTGGCCAGCCTCTTCTCCTGGAGGGCCTGTCACCCCCCGAGGCTGGCTCTGGTGTCACCCGGCGGGCGTGCGAGGGACGTCATCTTCCGGCTCTGAAATCAGTATGCGGCGCAGCCAGGGAGAGTGCTCCCTCGCACGCTGCACCAGCCTACCCGCAGGACCGGCCACCGGGTGACACCACTGGACCCCAGGGAATCCCCTCAGCACTCCCACAGGTAGGGAGGCTGGGGGGATGAAATAAAAAAAAGTGTGTGAGAAGAAGGAAATTGGAGGGGGGGAGAAGAAGGAAATTGGAGGGCGGGGAGAAGAAGAAAATTGGAGAGGTAGGGGGAGAAGAAGGAAATTGGGGTGGGAGGGGAGAAGAAGGAAATTGGACAGGTGGGGGGCAGGAGGAAATTGGGGTGGGAGGGGAGAAGAAGGAAATTGGAGTGGGAGGGAGAAGAAGGAAATTGGAGGGGAGAAGAAAGAAGGAAATTGGAGGGGGGAGAAGGTAATTGGAGAGGGGGGAAGGAAATTGACGGGGGGAGAAGGAAATTGACGGGGGGAGGTGGAGAAGGAAATTGACGGGGCGGAGATTGACATCCATCACACACACACACAATCACACACAATGCACCCCTTGCACACAGAAAAACACACAATGCATTACACACACAGACACATACACAAGCAATGCATCCCTTACACACACAGCAACACACAATGCACCCCTTACACACACTCAATGCATCCCTTACAGACGCACACACTGCATCCCATACATACACAAACACACCTTGCAGCCCTTACACATACAAATACAGATTCACACAATGCATTCCTTACACACATCAGGACATCCCCTACACACTCCACCCCCTGTGAACAAACTCATTGGTGGAACATGAAGGTGGACCCTGGGACCCAGACCTTGAGCTGTGTAAAGAGCCCTCAAAAAATGGAGCTGCTTCCCGTTCTCCCAGAACATTGATTATTGTGACCACAGTTACAAACCACCTCCAGAGAGCCTGTTCTACACCAGACCAGTGGAGCCAGACTGCAGCTAGAGCCCATAACCATCCTCATCTGGTTGTAAGTAGGCAATCTAGTATATTATTTGTGGCACTAATCTCTAATTTACCTCACATTAAAGAAACACTAAAGTCCCCAGTAACACTGCAGCTTAATGTAGTGGTTCTGGTGTCTATAGCCTGTCCCTGCAGGCCTTTTAATGTAAACACGGCGGCACTGCAGCACTGGCATTAGTTAACATGGCAGATCATAGGGGTGTGGCATTGTGATGTCACATGGGGGGCGGCAAACTTTACTTTTGCCTAGGACGGCAAAAATCCTTGCACCGGCCCTGCAGACACTGCATCCCTGTGGGCGGACTCGGGAGGGGGGGCAGCACTTTGGGCGGACTCGGGTGCAGGTACCGGGGGGCCCAGACCTTGAGCTGTGTCAGGGGCCCCAAAATTTCTGATGGCAGCCCTGTTTATAAGTAATATGTTGTAGTTTTGTATTGTATAATTATTGTGGTAAATTGACATTCTGCTAGCATCTGTTTATTTACTATAGTTATATTAAATATACATTTAATATTACAATGTTTTGTGTATTTTCTATCCACATATTCGACCATAATACCATGAACTATAAAAATATTAATGTTGTTCCGTATTTCTTAATTATTATGTATTAAGAGATTAATATTCATATTTAAGTCACACATGGTATTTTCAGGGGTGCTAGTCACTCCCTCCGGGACTTTCATTAATTTCTTCACCTCGATTCCCATGTTGTAATTCCTAAGGCCCAGTTTTAAAGATGGGTTGATAGCCTCCAGTGGCAGAGAGGAGAATTTCCAATTGTTTCTGTTCTGCATTATGGATTAATTTCTGTATTTTCTTCCTCAATGTACAAGTAAGATGGCAGTTATATAAAATCATACCCAATACAATCAGGACTATAATAACAAGAGGATAGAAGAATGATTTGATTATCTGGGATCCAGTAGGGGACCAACCAGTAAAAGCATCGTACCAATGATGGGCTAAATCATTCTGAATTTGTGAACTCACCTTAAGGAGTTCTCCTTTTAGGATATGTGTGGCTACCTGTGTGTGTGCTATAGCATCATTATGTGTAACAAGATGTTTAAACATATTTTGTTTTCCTTTCATTAAGGAGACAATAGTCTCAAGAGGTAGATGGTAATCTTTAAAAGGCAGAGAGCCTAATAGGGCATTAATATGTTTGTCTAAAGTGATTGTGTCGCTGAAATAATATTGGGTGTCATTAAGATCTAACCAGGTAACATTAGTCAAACATCCTGAAAAGGGGAGAGGTAGATTAATATTTGTATTACTAGTAATTATCTTTGTAGGGAGGTTAGTTGCCAAACAGATATGTCGTGTGCTTATTTCAGTCATGGTAAAATAATTTTCAGGATATATGTGCCATATGCACTTGTTAAGTTCATTTTGGAGTAAGCATGGTTCGTAAATAGTGGACGAGTGTCGACATGCATATCCTTTGTCAGTGAGAACACAGTGTTTAAGGGAATAGGTCATATTATCTTTGGGGAAAATATAGTGCCCTGTGTATGTGGGTGCCCACCAGGTTAAATTCCTGGTAAAGAGATCATAAACTGGTACTGGTAATGTGTTAAATTGACAAGCTAATTTAACATCCTTTGATAATGTATGATATAGTGTAAAATAGTATGAGCATGAAAAATGTGAAACATTACCAGTTAACCATTCATTGCATTTAGTGGATTGGGGTTTCAGAAGTAACCATTCATTATCTATGAGGTTAAGCATCCCTCTAATCTTCTCTAGTTTAGGAATCATTAGTGTGTCTTCTAATGCCAGTCTTTGCTGTTGCATCCATAAATACCTGATGGCACAAGTACTCCAGTTACCAAGATCTGTAGTGAATTTCATAGTTGCAACAGTTAAATTACCTAAATAGTTATACATTGATTTATCTAAATCCAATCCTGTAACCTGTGATTTAACAACAGTTGGAGCCCAGTTTGCAGTAGCATGGAAACCAGTCCCTATATGCATGCTGGCCGTGTTTAACTTATTCTTGAGGGTCTCCATGTCTATACTATTTAGTATACCCATAGTGGTTCCAGCACCTCCTAACAGTGTGTCATATCATTCCCTTTTCTGCCTTTTGTTTGCTGTGTTACATATTGTTACAACAGGAGTAGTGATTTTTAATGACATATGTACAGCTTGTAAGAAGGCAGTTGTATTAACACGTGGACGGAATAGGTGTGTGTGTGTCGTGGTTGACTTTTGGTTCTATGGTAGAGGATAAAGGACAGTAATAAGGTGTAAAAATATAAGATAGTGTACAGTTCTCAATCGCAGTGTCGTTCATAATGACTAACATTTGTCCCCTTTTCCAATTAATGGTACCAGTTGTATAATCATTATTAAAAATAATAAGGCCTGTCTGTTTACATTGATATGCAACCTTACTAATTTTCTTATAATATATATCCCAAACCTGTTTAGGTGGTTTTTTCTTACCATCAGAACTTATATTAAATAAGGTGGCACATATGCTGGTGTAATTAGCAACTTTAACTGTGCACATTTCTGCGTTATAAGATCTAACAATTTTCCGTGAACCTTCAAACAAACATAATGCATTGGTTTCATTAGCTGTGGACACATTCCATATGGGTAACTGGTACTTATAAAGGTTATTATTTATCCAGTTCATCCATATGTGTTCAGTCAATGAGTGACTGCATATTACATGCTGATAGATAGGTGGTGGAGAAAGGTTCTTGAGGGAGCGTGAGTGACGAATGCTAGATGAGGGGCTAAGGCCTAATTGGGCTAGGGGTATTGAAGAATTGTTCATCATGTCAGAGTCATTTCTCCAGAAACAAACAGGTTTCAAACTTCCCATTGACTTGTACTCATAATGGCATTCAAGGAACAATATCAGAGGGAGTATAACAACTCCAGAAAGCATAGCGAAAAACATAATCTTGGTCTCAGGTTCGTATGATCCTCTCAATCTACGATATGGTGTGAAAGCCATGATGCTTCGCTAAGGGGAAATTCTTCTCTTTCCGAGTGAGGAGTGGTGTTGTCTTCCTTGGTTCCCCTCTTTGGACACAGCTTCACTCGGGATGCGTGAATCCAGATGTCGTGGGAATCTGTGAGGACAGCGGTTCTGGTTACAGCAATCACAGTAGCAGGTGGTCCGAAAGGGTATCCTCCTTTCTTGGTCCTATTCAGCTGACGGATATACACCTTGTCACCGGGCTGATATGGCTGAGTAGGTTCCTGTGAAGGTAAGGGAAACTGTGAAGAAACATTGCCATATATACCATTCAGTTTTATCAACAATTCCTGTACATATTGTTCTTGTATTAGCTGTAAATCCCCAGACATTATAACAAGTGGTTCCCTGGCCCAGGGTGTGGGAAAAGGTCGTCCCATCAGAATCTCAAATGGAGATAATTTAGTCACCTTGTGGGGAGTCATTCTTGTCTCAGCTAAAATAGCTGGAAGATATTTTGTCCAATTTACCCATGTTCCTGCAGTAGCTTTCTGTCAGGCTCCCGCGGGCGGCTGCGAGGGGAGGCTGCACTCCGCTCGCAGTACTCACCCTCCAGCCGTCCGCGGTCCCCTTCCAGCCTCGGATGCCGCCCGCCGTTCCCTCCACGTCCCCCAGCGGCAGCATGCATGACGCTGCACGCTGGGAGACCGCCCAGGTTTATACACGCCGGGGTCAGTCACCTGACCCGGCGTTAAAGGCAAAGTGCCACAATCACAGTGGGAGGTCTAAATATCTCCCACGTGTGATTGTTAATTCTGATTGGAAATCATCCAATCAGAATTAACCTGATGGTTTAAATACTTACCTTTCCTGTTCCTCCTTGCCCTGTTGTGGTCTTTGCTTGCTAGTATTGCTACTTACCTTGTGCTTCTGGTTACGTACTCTCTGGCTTGTTTATCTGACTCTGTGACTTTCTCCTACCCTTTGACCTCGGCTCGTTTCACGTTATTCTGTCTTCTGGTTCCCCTTTACTCGGCTTGTCTCCTGACTATTCTGTGTGTGCTTAGCCCGGCCACTCTAAGGTCCGGTACGGCACCTTTTGTGTGTGTGTGTGTGTGCCAGCGTGTTGGGTTCCCCGAATCGTGACATTACAACAGGGCCATAATGGAACCTGCTGACATACCACAGCTCCTAGTTAATCAAGAGGCTAGAATGGATGGCTTGGACCACCGTATGGATCAGTTTGCTCAAGCTTTGCAAACCATTCTGGCTCGTACTGCACACTTGCAACCTGCCGTTCAGGAGGCTGCTGCTGCTGTGCCCGAACCCATTCCCACTCCAGTACCTGTTCCCGCTCATGTAGTTCACATGACGCCGCCACAGCGCTACAGTGGTGACCCAGCATTGTGTCGTGGTTTCCTCAACCAAATCGACATCCATTTGGTGATGAATCCACGCTCCTATCCCACTGACAGATCTAAAATTGCCTTTTTGATAAACCACTTGTCCGGGAGAGCTTTAGCATGGGCAAACCCCATTTGGGAAAATACGTCTCCTATGTCCTTTGCTGATTTTCTGACAGCTTTCAGACGCACGTTTGATCAACCCGGTAGGGTTGCTTCTGCTGGCAAGGCTCTGCTTAGGGTCCGACAGGGTAACAGGTCTGTAGCAGATTACACTATCGAATTTCGTACTCTAGCAGCTGAAGTGGTTTGGAATAATGACGCCCTCGTAACAGCCTTTCAGGAGGGTCTGGCCGCTTATATACTGGATGAAATAGCATCCAGGGAATTACCTGCTCTTCTAGATGATGTTATAGACTATGTGATTCTTATAGATAACCGTATTAGAGAGAGGCGTAGCCAAAGACGGTTGGATACACGGGTGTTACCTGCTCTACCCAGTACTTCCCTGCTAGCGTTACCCGCTCCTGTGCAGCCATCCCCTGAACCCATGCAGTTGGGTGCTACGGGGTTAACTGAGGCCGAAAGAGCGTACCGTAGAAGGGAGGGGTTATGCCTTTATTGTGGGAAGAGGGGGCATCACTGTAAAGCCTGCCCTAAAGTACAGGGAAACTGCAGCACCTAAGGCCTAGAGAGGGGTCGGCCTCGGGTGTTATGACTTTGTCCCCTCATATGTCCATCTCTAGACCGTTTATTACGGTTTCTCTCTTGGTCAATAAAACCACTATAACAACCAAAGCCCTGATTGATTCAGGTGCGGCAGACAACCTTATGGATGAGACCTTTGCCAAAACCGCAGCCCTGAATTTGATCCGAAAGGAGACACCCTTGGCCGTTGAGGCCATAGATGGTAGACCACTGGAGAAACCTCTGGTGACCCATGAAACCCAGGAAATAGTCATGTCTGTGGGTGTTTTGCACAAAGAGAAGTTAACCTTCCAAATAATTGACTCCCCAACAGCCTCCATCGTTCTAGGTTTTCCCTGGTTAGTTAAACACAACCCTGTTCTTGATTGGGGTTGTTTAGACATACTCTCCTGGGGGGGAATCTTGTCAGCGAGACTGTGTGGCTCATGTACGTCCTGTCTGTTTACTTAACGTACCCACGGCTAAACCACTCTCGGTTTCTGTGCCCTCTGTTTATGCAGACCTTGCCTTGGTTTTTGAAAAGAGGGAGGCAGATAAGCTACCTCCACATCGTGAGTATGATTGTGCCATAAACCTCTTACCGGACACTATGCCTCCTAGGGGAAAGGTCTACCCTCTTTCTGAAAAAGAGAACCAAATCATGGAGGAGTACATACAGGAATCCCTAAGAAAAGGTTTTATTAGAAGGTCCTCCTCTCCTGCTGGTGCTGGTTTCTTTTTTGTGGCTAAGAAGGAGGGTGATTTGAGGCCATGTATAGACTACAGGGGTCTGAACAATATAACGGTTAAAAACGCCTACCCTATCCCCCTCATCACTGAGTTGTTTGATCGTGTTAAAGGTTCTAAATTTTTCACCAAATTAGACCTCAGGGGGGCTTATAACCTTGTCCGTATAAAGGAGAATGACGAGTGGAAGACAGCGTTCAACACACGCAGTGGGCATTACGAATATCTGGTCATGCCTTTTGGATTGTGTAATGCTCCTGCCGTGTTTCAGGACCTCATAAATGATGTCCTTAGGGATCTATTGCATGTCTGTGCTGTAGTGTACCTTGACGACATACTTGTGTATTCTCCTGATTTGAAGTCACACCATAACCATGTTAGGATGGTGCTCAAAAGGCTATTGCAGAACGGACTCTACTGTAAGTTAGAAAAATGTTTATTCGATCAGACCTCTGTGCAATTCCTAGGATATATCATTACTGAACAGGGTTTCAGTATGGATCCTGCTAAATTGGAAGCTATAATGTCCTGGCCACTTCCCCAAGGACTAAAGGCTATCCAGCGTTTTATAGGATTTGCCAACTATTATAGGAAATTTATAAAAAACTTTTCACCACTCATATCTCCCATAACGAAGTTGACAAAAAAAGGTCTACATCCTAGGGTTTGGACTCCTGAAGCCCTTAAGGCCTTCGAAACCCTCAAGAAGGCATTTGCCTCTGCTCCAGTGCTGTACCACCCTGATCCTTCTCTTCCCTTTGTTATGGAAGTAGATGCCTCGGAGTCAGGTGTGGGAGCCGTACTGTCACAGAGGTTGTCTTATGACAAACCCCTCCATCCCTGTTGTTATTTTTCTAAAAGGTTGTCTGATTCAGAGAAGAATTACGATGTTGGGAACAGGGAACTATTAGCTATTGTATTAGCTTTCAAGGAATGGAGGTACTTATTAGAGGGTTCTAGACACAAAATTATGGTTATAACAGATCATAAGAATCTATCCTATATTGCTGATGCTAGAAGGTTATCTGCCCGGCAGGCTAGATGGTCTCTATTTCTCTCACGCTTCCAATATGTTATCACCTATAGACCTGGTTGCCGTAATGCCAAAGCTGACGCCATCTCTCGGCAGCATGAACCAGTAGAATTTGTTAACCCGACTCCTGAACCTATTGTACCTGCGTCTCAGATAATAGCTGCTACCCGTTTGGTTGTTTCTTCACCTTTCCTTAACAGTATTAAGACATACCAAACCCAGGCACCCCCTGAGACGCCGGTTGGTAAACTATACGTTGAAGCTAATGACAGAAAAAAGTTGTTAACTTTATTTCACACAGCCAAAACTGCTGGTCATCCGGGGGTTACCAAAACCTACAAGGGCCTCCTTCAACAGTTCTGGTGGCCTTCACTCAAGCGAGACGTAGTGGATTTTGTTCAGGCTTGTCAGGTCTGCACGCAATGTAAGTCCCTTAATGTGAGACCCCAGGGTTTTCTGATGCCTCTATCTATACCCAAGAAACCATGGACCCACTTATCCATGGATTTCATTGTAGACCTGCCTCTTTCTGATGGTCAGACGGTGATACTGACTGTGACGGATAGGTTCTCTAAAATGGCGCACTTCATTCCGCTTAAGAAACTGCCTTCTGCGGTTCAGTTAGCTCAGGTATTTGCCAAAGAAGTGTTCCGATTGCATGGGGTACCCCAGGATATCGTATCTGACAGGGGCCCTCAATTTGTCTCTCGGTTCTGGAGGGGCTTTTGTGCTGAGATGGGGGTATCCTTGTCGTTTTCTTCTTCCTATCACCCGCAATCTAATGGTGCGGCCGAACGTGCTAATCAGTCTGTGGAATTGTATTTGCGCTGCTTCACTAATGCGCACCAGAATGACTGGTCTCGCCTTCTTCCGTGGGCTGAATTTGCCAGGAATACGGTGTCTCATTCGTCTACTGGCTTAAGTCCTTTTGAGGTTGCTTATGGGTTTCATCCTTCTGTCCTTCCCGATGCGTTCTCCGACAAGGGAATGCCCGCCTTGGACCAGCACCTCTCCTCTTTGCGGAAGACGTGGGATCAGGTCCATGTTGCGCTGTCTCGTTCAGCAGCTGCTCAGAAAAAGTTTGCTGATCGCCGTAGGGTTGCGGCCCCTTCCTATGTTCCGGGTGATAGGGTATGGTTGTCCTCCTGGAACCTCCGTCTCAAGGTTCCCTCGATGAAATTTGCCCCCAGGTTTCTTGGTCCCTTCAAGGTGTTACGTAGGGTTAACCCCGTTTCCTACTCCCTTGATTTGCCTCCTTCCATGCGTGTCCCGAACACGTTTCACGTCTCGCTTTTGAAACCCTTGCTGTGTAACCGGTTCTCTCGTCCCCTCGGGCG